CTTAAATAAAGGGCTGTTTGCTTCTAGCCACAAGACTTGATGGTGGTCTCAGAAATCAGTCTGGTTTATTGGGCTTCCTTTGCTTTTTTACCTGAATTTGGAAATATAAGAAGTCCTTCCATTTATTTCAACTGGGTGAGTGAGGAAGTGCTCAATTTATCTTCTAGTAAAAAGTCTAGTGCTATTTGTTTTGTGGCTTTGTAATCTCTATGTTTTAAAACCTCTTGACATTTGCAATGGCACCAATTTATCTACCTGATTCATGTGATCTTGACGATTAAAGAATTCCACCCAAAGATAAAACTTATTGAAGACAAATATCAGGAGACTGCCTGAGCCTCGTGCACAGGATGTGCACATTCATCTGATTCCAGACCTACCAGCAACGAACCTTCTTCCTCTTGCGCTGGATACAAGTGGTTCAGCACAGAAAAGGGCCAACAGACTGCTGGTTGTCGTGGCCTGCACTTAAACCCCACCCAAACGGAGAATCACTCCCTTCCAAAAAAGCAGTAAAAATCCTATGACTTTAGATATTCTTTTATGCAATTTATCATTAATAGGAGTACTGCCAAGGTCTTCCCAAACAAACAGAAAATACTAAGTAAAATAAGAAATTATCAAAAAGTTTTTGCAGTGATAAATCATGGATTTTTGACAACTGTACAAATATCAGTTATAAATCAAAATTATTGTTCTCGTATTTTAAAAAGTCCTGGGTATATAATTATATACGATTGAATTATTTTTAAGAGAATCAAGTTAATAGTAAGTAATGAGACATTCATATATGTATAAGCATAAACACACATATTTTAAAAAAATTCTCATTCAAGGATATGTTTATTGACTTTTAGAGAGAGGAAGGAGAGAGAGGGAGAACCATTGATGTGAGAGAGATACACTAATCCATAGATCAGTTGCCTCCTGTACACACCCCGATAAGGGACTGAAGCCAAAACCTAGGTATGTGCCTTGACCAGGAATTGAACCAACCACCTTTTGGTATCCCGGATGATGCTGCAACCAAGTGAGCTACACTGGCCAGGGCATAAACACACACATATTTTTAAGAGAATCAAATTGAGAGCAATAAATGAAAAGGAATTATCATGAACTTTTGACAAACAAATCAAAATATAATAATTATTACATGAATTTTACATTTTATATTCCTGTCAAATGATGTATAGCAAGTAAGCATTTCCATGTAAGAGCATGTTATATGGGTCATACCTTTTCATGAACTTTCTGGCCAGGTTCCATCCCTTCAAGATGTTCTGATTCCGTGGATCCCTCACTTGATGCCATTTTCCTTTGTATATGAACATTTTGTTCACGCAAGGCAACAATCTGTAAAATAAAAAGACAGGCTTTTAAAATCTAAAGTAGAACATAAAGTATAAAAAATTTGAATTTACTTGAATGTGGTTAAGAACTAATGAGCACAATCAGAAAATAAACATTGTTTTACTCATTATTATTTCAAACATATTTTCAAAAATTGACTAGCATTTTGAATAACATTTATAATATTTAGAGGAATGTGAAAATTTTCTTTAAAAATTTTCTACTTGGAATAGGTATCTATCAGGTTGGAAATGTACCTAAATAAAAAGTATGATCCACGTGTTGTTCAATCAGAAATTACCTTCAAAATTAATTTATGAAATGTGATAAAATTTGCATTGGTCTGTATTTTTAAAGCATAAAAGAAACATAAATGAAAAGATTGAAAGCTGAAGACTAATTATTAGCACAATCATTTACCCTAAGAAATAATGTATCTGCAATTTAAAAACTAACAAACACATAAGCTGGACTTAAATAGTTGTAGCACTATCATAAGTACTTAGAATTAAATTGGTCTCACTGTCTTATTTTAATGACCATTGTCTTAGCTCAGCTAGTCCAAATATAGTAGTTAATTAAAGAAAATCACCAACCAATAATCATCAAATAAACAAAATATATAAATTAGTTGGGTGTTTGCACTGCTACCTGCCACTGCTTCAGTGCCCAGGTGGACCGTGATGTGTTCACAAGATCAAGTGAACTTGCACATGCGCTCCAGCACTTGAACATATGGCATGTCATTTTCTAGGGGCATATCACCACACCATGAAGAACAACGATGTAAATGCCACTTCTTGAAGTACTGCAATCATTAATGATTAGCCCCCTTGCTCCCATTCTTGCTCATCTACAATCTTTCTCAAAGCAGCCAGTTTCTTCTTTTAACTGTACATTAATATTGTGTCATGTCTCAGCTTTCTAAAGAACCTCAATGTCTTCCCAACTTATTGAGTCTGCATTGAAATTTCTTAACAAGGTCTCTAACTTCCTACATGATCCCTTGGGCCACAATTACCTCCTTTCTGTCGCCTAAACGTACCAGACTTCCTTACCCAGAACTGAGAAACATGATCTTCCTGCCTGAACATCCTTCCCCAGCTCAGACCAGCCCGCACAATCTCAGCCTTCACAACTCAGCTGACACACCACCCGTCAGAGAAAGCATGCCTTGCTGTCAAACACTTATTACAATATCCCTGTTTATTTTTGTGGGTATTTCACTCATTAAAATATAGTATTTTATTCCCTATTTACTCACTTTGCTTGTTTATTTAGCTAGCAGAAGAACTAATAATATCTCATGGGAAAATAATTTTCAAAGGAATGTCTTATTGGAAACATTTTCATATGAAGCAGCATCATATTATTATGTGCATAGTATTCAGTAAAAATGTGTTCAGTTACATAATGAATGAATATGGAAAAACAATGAGTGTAAAAAAACTAACTCATCTGGAAATAACAAAAGATAAAGATTTAAAGTGTTTGAGACATCCTTTCATGTTAGTGTAAATGGAGTAAATCAAAGGAAAACCAAAATGAAATAGCCCTGCATGTATCATTCTTATGTAGGCAAGTTGTGCATACATTTTCAATCCACTGAAGGCCCATGGAAATGTAGTCAGGAGACATTTCCACAATCAATTTAGCTGATCAACCATGACTTGTCAAGTGTTTGTTGACATTTGTTTCTAAATGCCCACCATCCCTTCATATTCCTTTTGGTAACAACATCTCACATTTTCATTGGAGAGTTTCCGAATTTCCCTTTCAACTCTAATCCTAGAGGGACTGTCAATCAAGGGGTCAGAGCTGATGGCAAATAGCTGGGCACATGGTCCAAGTCAGGGCAATTAGCATGTTCTTTGAGATGCTTCTGGCAGAGCTATGGGGGGAGATTCTCTCTGCTATGGAAGATAAGCTGGTAGGAGATGATCAGGGTGCTGTTTGCCATGATTGTAGTTCTGCCTTGTGGAGAAAGCCAGGGGCTGAGATGGAGTCCTGATGAATGTTGCTGTTCCTGATTCTAGCTTTTTTTTTTTTTAACTTCTTTTGCCATTTTTTTTAATCATCCGTGGTTTCTCCTGACTTCTTTTTAAATTTTATTTTTCAATTACAGTTTACATTAAATATTATTTTGTATTAGTTTCAGGCATATATACAGTATAGTGCTTAGATGATCATATACTTTATAAAGTGTTCCCCCTGATATTTCCAGTACCCACCTGGCACCATACATTGTTATCACAATAGTATTGACTATATCTATCACTACCTCTGGCATTTCAGCAATAAAAGCCAAAAATTTCCCTTTTGTGTTCAAAATAGTTTGGATAGTTTTCTGTCACCTGCAACTAAAAGTGTCCTTGCCATGTACCTTGGTTGCAGGCTCAGTGCCCTACCCCAGACCAGGTGAGTTCTGGAGGCAACCAATTGATGTGTCTCTCTCACATCCATGTTTCTCTCTCTCTCTCTCTCTCTCTCTCTCTCTCTCCTCCACATCCACCTCCCTCCCCTCCACTCTCTCTAAAAATATCAATGGAAAAATTATCCTTGGATGAGGACTAAAATAACAATAACAACAATAATAATAATACTAAAAGTATCCTTGCAAATATAGCAGGGAACATGGAAGGCAACACAGCATATGGAATTGCTAAGAGGAGGTTTTGTAAAATTACTAATAATTTACCAGGCACAATGGGAGAAAATTTTTCTTATATAAGAGCTCTGTGTGTTCCTAGTACTACGGCTTCACTATTTCTGTGCAAAAAGTTTCTGGAGGAAGATGGAATTAGGACAGGAGACTAAAAAAACTAAAGCAGTTCAACTAAAGCTCTGGCCTCTGAGTGCTTCTATCTTTCTGGCATTCTGCTTGAGAAGCTCTGATCCCATACAATGGACTTCTGCTGGTCTTTCAAGTCTGGAAAATTCCCCAGCTCTCATTCCTTGTTTCTACCAAACTCTCTCTGGGATTCTACCATGTCTTCTAACAGATGCTCTCCTATCCCCTGGTCTTTGAACAACTGTTTTTCCTGCCAACCTGGAGAGATTCATTCACTTCACAAATTTTCATTGAGCACAGGCATTGGGGAAAAACAAATCAAGGGGAAAGAAGAAATTCTTGCCTTAACAAAACTTAAATTCTTGTTGGAGGAAAGAAACTATTAACAAAAATAAGTAGCATACATTTTTAAAATATATTTTATTGATTTTAGTAGCACACATTTTTAAATGGTGATAATTGCAAACTGTAAATGAAAGCAGGGGAGAGGTGCTGTGAGGTGTAGTTTCATTAGGAATTAGGTGCTTTCTGAGTGTAGACCTGAAGACACGGGTCAAAGACAGCAATGTGGATATCGGAGAGAAGAGCTCTCCAGGCAGAGGGTGGGGAAGATGTAAATTCTTATTGAAAACAGAGTTGAGATTCATGCAAATGTTTCAGTGAGTTCTTCAAATAATGTAAAATGTCCTTTTCAAAAGGAAACTAAAACACCAGTGAAAATCGATGCCTTAGATTACAGTGGTTCTCAACCTTCCTAATGCGACCCTTTAATACAGTTCCTCATGTTGTGGTGACCGCCAACCATAAAATTATTTTCGTTGCTACTTTCAAACTGTAATTTTGCTACTGTTATGAATCGTACTGTAAATATCTGATATGCAGGATGTATTTAGGCGACCCCTGTGAAAGGGTCTTTCGACCTCCAAAGAAGTCGCAACCCACAGGTTGAGAACCGCTGCCTTAGAACTTGAGGAGTGAGGAAATATACAGAAACATGTGATTCTTTAAAAAAAAAAAAGTGATTTTGGAGAAAATACAATATATATTCCCGAATTTTGAAATTTCACAAGAGTTAAAGATGTATTAATCCATTTATTCAACAAATACTCATTAATCACTGTTCTAAGTATCAGACACCACCAGGAAAAAGGCAGATCAAGCAATGAGATTGCATTCTAGCAAAAAAGAAAAAAGAAAGAAAAAGAAGAAAATGCACTAGCATAACAAAATAGCAATGAATTGTTAAATTCCTAAAATGTGCTTAAGATTGTGCTAAACACATTATAGAAATTTGCATCTTTAAAACAACTGTTTACCTGTACTATGCTTTCTAACCAAGTTTGAGATTTCTTCAAAGCAGACTTTGAGACATGTAATAATGTGCATGTAGTTTATTTATCCTTAAATAATCTTGAAAGGCCTTGATTGAGTCCTGGCCTCTTTAGGTGTAACTGACGATATGACCTTGTACACATTACTTAAACTGAAGTTCATGCTCCTCTGTTATAAAATAAGGGATAATAATACCTTTTAGTGTTTGTACTATAAAGTACTTAGTCAACTTTGGTGTACAGTAAAACTTTGTTACATAATAACAAAGACCTCCATTCACCTCTTCAACTTTATCTTCCTATCCACACTTTGTGTTCTGGCTTATTGAAGGTATTGCATTCACACACATAGGAAATGCCATCTTGACTGAGTTTTTATTCACTTGGATTACCCTTTGTGAGGTGATAGGGAAAAAATATATATATATATATACACACACACACATACACATACATATATATATGTTGGTCTCTGCCTCCAATATCTGGCATAACGTTCCTAAAACCCTTGTAAATTCCTATGTGATAAGAGCAGTGGGAGCATCTTTTGTTCCATTGAGGTGACTCTGGGTGTGTTCCTGGATGGAGGCTGGTCACCAGAAGACCTAAGCTATGATTGGAAGCTTGGCATTTTCAGTCCCATCTCCCATTCTACAGAGAGGGGAGAGGGAGTGGAAATGGAGTTGTTTGATCATGCCTATGTAATGCTGCCTCCATAAAAATCCCCAGAGTACAGGTGTCAGGGAACTTTCCGGTTGGTGATTAATCCATGTACTGGGAGGGTGATGCACCCCAATTTCACAGGAACAGAAGCTCTTGCACTCAGGATGCTTCCAGATATTGTCATACGTATCTCTTCATCTGTTTGTTCATCTGCATCC